CGAGGAGGGGGTGGGCGAGATCCTGCAGGGCCGAGCTCTGCATGAGGTTGTAGACGGCCTTGATAAGACCGAGATCTTGCAGTCGCTTGATGAACTTGGACCACTCCTCCATGGGGGCGCCCTGGGCTGCGGCGGCGGCGGCCGATGACTTGGTGGCCAGGCCGACGGTGGCGGCCTCGCGGGCGGCGGCCTCGCTCGAGACAGCGTCCCGGATGAGGGCGTTGATGAGCATGAGGGCGTTGGCGCAGAGGGCGTGGTCGGCGGACTGCAGCTGGGCGATGACGAGCTCGAAGAAGTGCGGGTAGACGGCGACGGCGGGCTTCAGGGCGCGGAAGCCAAAGGACCCCGGCAGTCTCGCGCCGGCGGTGGCGGGGTTGCGTGCGCCCGCGTCGGACTGCGAGTGGCTGACGAGGGCGACGAGGATGGACATGGCGCCGCGCAGAATGTTGACGAGGGGGTTCGTGACGATGAGCTCGACCACGCGCTCGACGAGGTCGCCGGCAGCGGGACCCTCGAATATGTCCCAGCCCATGTCAACCTCGAGCAGGCGGGTCAGGCTCTGCAGGGAGTAGGCCAAGGTGTTGCCGCCGGTGCTCATAATCAGGCGGCGCAGTATGACGAGGCCACCGGAGGAGATGAAGACGTCGGCAAAGGCGGGGTCGTTTATGGAGGACTGGAGCTTGAAGACGGCCATTTTGCGGGCGGCATCCTCGTCGGAGGCCAGCCGCGACAGGAGCGCGGGGATGTCTGCTTGGTCCATGGTCCAGACTGCGGTGGTGGCGGCGGCGGCAGAGGATCTTGATGGGGGCCGCCCAGGAGAAACGTCGGGATGGGCGTCAGCGAGGAAGTCGGAGTCGGAGTCGGCACGTGGTGCAGATCATGATCTTTTGGCGGTGGTGCGCTTCGAGAAGGACATGGACGAAGAGACGAGGAGGCGCGCGTCAGGCCTTGTTGGCCCTGCCTTGCGGTCGTACGTGACGTGGCTTGAAGTTTCGTGCTGGTCGTGGGGTCGGATCACCTGTCGAGGGGTGCAACCAGAGCCAGAGGAGAGTCAGAGTCGAAGAAAGCGCGAGGAATGGATGGGGAGACAGAGACGGTGAATGTAATGTAATTGTCGAGGTTTGGGATTTGGGATCCAAAGGGTCCATGCGCACGCACAGCAGCCAGCCGATGCAGGGGTTCAGCACATTATCCGCGACTCGTGCGCTGGGCCAATGAGGCTGCCTCGCTAGTGCCCCGCGTTCCGAGCTGCAGCATTCGGCGTGCCTGGATTTGTGTTCGTCCCGGTCAGGGTCCATCCATATCGCATGTGTTTTTGCTTGTCTTGTCGGCCGGGTTGGGTCGGCATGGTTGATGGTCGAGCCTTGGTTGCAGCCTTGGTTGCAGCCTCGTTTGCAGCCTCGTGCAACTAGGGTCACGAGATGTGTCTTCTTGCACGATGCTGCTGTGGCTGCCCCAAAGCACCTGCAAGGCACCTGCCCCCGGTAGTGGCCTGGGCGCAGGTGCCATGGGGCATCCTTCCTTAGCAAGAGTGACACAGACTGAGAGCCAGAATACAATGATCCCGCCACCAAAACCCATGCGCTTCTTCCAAGTCGTATCACAGCCGGTCCACATCGAGGACGATCACTTCGTGAGACAGCTCCTGCAGCCTTGGTACTCAGCTGACGGGTACACCGACAAGATGATCAACTACCTACCTCAATGACCGCTCCAGCCAAGGCAGAGAGCAACCCGATTTCGCACATCTCCCCTACAGCACCCTCCACTGACCGCATCACGAGCTGGCTGCGATTGCTTCATTCGGTATCACCTAGGAAGATTGCCAAGCATCTGAACGCACGTCACCAAGTCCGTCGACAGCAGCCGTGTTGGTGAGAGGCCCCCAGCGAGGGCACTGCCTGGTATCCCAACAGCAGTCATGCCAGCTTCATTGCATGCGAATAGTGACGGGGAACAAGTCATGACCATTCATTTGGAGCTATACAGCGCACGGAAGGTTGTGGATCGCCTGATCTTCCCACGTCGGATTTCATACCGGACAGGACCGAGAAACGCGTAATTTGAGTACCATCGTTGGCAAGGTTTTGAAGAGCCGTCGGGTCGATTTCACTCCTATATGATGAGATGTCACAGGAGCCTGGGTCATCAGCGACAATGAACACGAAGTTCGGGTGTTTCCCTGTGGCGCTTTGCGCGAGCCCCGGCGGCTCGGTGTGCCAAGTACCGGCTCTCGGCTGTCAGGTGGACCGGGGCACCTTTGTTGCTCGGTTCTCGCCTCCCTTGATGTCGTGTCGTGCCTGCAGCACCGGGCTCTCACTTTGATTCATTCTGGCCAGATCACACCCCAGCAAAATTATCGCAGAAATAGAGTCATGAACTTCGCTCTCTTCAGCTCTGGAGACGGGACGAACACGTCTGTGGCTAGATAGGTCAGGTCATGGCAACGATATAAGAGGACTGGAAGCTGTATAAGATCTGGAACCTGGACACGAGCCTCCAAGTCTATGGAAGAACTCCCTGGCCTTCCCTCATGCGCCGCGTTCACCAAACTTCTCGGCTGCTGGATGACAGGACGTCTGAAGTCTAGCTGCCCTAGATGTTGACGTTTTTGCGAATGCACAACTACAATGTTTCGAAACACATCACTTCTAATCTGTTGATGGCCGTCATGGTCCTCTGCACAAGTGTCTTCACCTTTGACGGAGAACTCGGAGTATATTTTACTCCCCGATCCAGAATTGACTTTGTGAAAGAGCTGACAAGATTGCAGGGTGGAAGTCGTCTGGCTTGGGCTCCAAACTGACCGACCTGGACAATGGCAACATGGAGGCAGCTGTGCGACATTGACCAACTGAATTCAAGGCTATCAAGCCGCAGCACAAGTCCACACCATCTACGATTATCATTATGGGCCGCGCATAGGAAGTTTGCGAGCCTAGAACTTTCAACCAACAAGCGTTTCTATGAATGCTCAAGGGTTATTGTCACATACTTGCTACATGTCTGCAGTCGTTTGGTTTCCTCAGAAAGAAATACTCCGAGTCAGGGAGAACCAGTCAAGAGATGCGGCAGGGCTTCGACAGGCCGACTTTGTGACATCTCTTATGCACACGGGCCCACCTGACTGATTTGTGGCCATTCAGAGTTTGAATCTCCCCCGAGATGCTCGCGTTGGTGACGGTTCGCATTGTGCATTGAGGCATGACTGCTTCTGGACCAACTGCACCAACTGTTGGTACCTATATTAAGCTACCTTCCCCACACCTCTTTCGCAACCGTCATAAGCAAGTTATGGTGAGGAACATGAAGAACCAGTTGCACACCAGCTCGATTCCATCAGGAGAGCTACTTTGGGACCAATTCAAAGCATTCCCACGAGAAAACAAACTGTGAGGGCCAGGTATCTAGATCGAAGTACGATTGAGAGCTCCCCTCCGGGATTGGCTTTCTTCAGACTAGAAACGCTAACGACTTTTGATATAGGCAGCCGTGTTATTACCCAAAGTATCTACTGAATCACGGCCAAATCGATTGATTTCACTCATGGAGCCCGTCATACGATCTATGGAGGTCGACGATGACGATTCTTGGGATAGCTACTACCGACTACGCATTGGATCGCAGGTCAAATACCTCGTCATCTCCCCAGGAACATTTGACCGAGACACGTTATCACTACCGCTACAGTCCTTACCCAAACTTCCGGCTGGAGAATGGACCATGGCCAAGATCTCCCGAGACAAAGCGACTGGTGATTTGAGAACTGGATTCTCCAACCATGTACTGTCTGGGGTCCATTCTCAATGGCATCCTGTTAGCGTTGACTGCCTCGAGCTGGAGAGATTCAAGCAGCTCACAGTGTCGGCCTTTGAAGTCATCACACCAAGTTCGATCCCGACATTCGATGCCTCATCGCCCACTACTGTGATCGCTAAGATAGCCTGATTCAAGTGGGAGGTGCCGAAAATTGAACAAGAAACGATGGCTTATCAGCTACTGGATGGCTCTGGTCTGGTGCCACGTTTGCTGGCTCATAGCCACGAGAATGGACGCATCATGGGATTTCTGCTTTCAAAAACTGGAAGGACGCCATGCTTCCATCCACGATCTGAGTGCGTGTGAGGCCGTTCTGAAAAAGATTCACGAACGGGGCCTGTTACATGGAGATGTGAACCGACACAACTTTATAGTGCCGGAAGATGGGATAAAATTGCTCGACTTTGAAAATTTCCAGGAGAACGCCAGTCCTGGGTTGATGCAAAAGGAGCTGGAAAATCTAAGTGACCAACTTGTCGAGGAGTCAGGAAGGGGCGGAGGCTTCATACCCTGGGAAGGTAGCGACTGATTGATTGGTTTCACGAAGGTATGAGTCCCTGCAGCCACACTGGTACCCAAGCCAAAGTGTTCACCGCAAACTGTTCTGATTGATTCACAGAAATTCACCTTCTCAGTGCGATCAATCTCCAGTATTCTGGGAGCATGTTCGTCTAGGATTTCTGGAAAGTCATGGTAATTCACGATGCAAGATGGAAGTCAACGATGCTCATTTGTGGCCGGCTCGCAGCAGATCTGTGTCAAGCAAAAGCCTCTGCATGAATTGGCAGATGTGCATACCATTCGTGTGCCCAACCCGTCAACTGCTTTGTGTCTACTATGTGACTTTGATTCACGGCGTGCGTCCTCGCTTGCCGCCACTTACCAGCAGGCATCGCCCACTCGACCATGTCCTCCGATCTCAATACCTGCTGAGCACTCGATCAACCTGAAAGCCGTGAGAACATTGGGCCCCACTTCGAGTTCAGCCTCCAAAGTACAAGTAGTGAATCCCACCTTGAACAATGTCGTTCGACTTTTGAAGCTATTCTAAGCATCATCTTGAAACGCTTTCAAATTAATCCCTAGTTCCAGTATCTCGAGGAGACCGCTCAAACCTGTATACTCGCCGACCAAAGTTTGCCGACTTGGGCACCCCATTTTCGTCGTTGATCGCTGATCCGTCAGTCAGTTGGTCTAGTGTCTTCCGCGGGTGTAGCCGTTATCGCCGGTAAAATCCTTGATCCCGATGAAGCCGAAATAAAGTTGGCATTCGCCATTGTGCTCGCACCATCGTCACTGACATTGAAGACAATGCCCTGCTCGCCCCGTATTTGCCGCCAGTAGTTAGTTCCCTCGATCAGTTCTGGACAACCCTGCGTGATCCAGCCCCACTTGCGCAGGAAAGCGGCGCTCGCCTCCCAGCCTTTGATGTCCCACGATTCGCCCCAGAGGATGAGCGACGGCTTCTCTACGTCTGAACAGTTCGTATCCTCAACGTTGAGTAGGTCGGAGCATAGCTCATCTTCGTTAATTGCTTCTGAATCGAGACCGCGGAGGACGTTATCACGAAGCCGCGCCAGAGGGAAGAGGTCAACCCATGGGTGATGTCGCACCGTTCGCTGGAGGGCCGTCGGACTGAGGGACTCGGGGTGGGAGGGCTGCGATGACGGCCGATGCCCATCCTGGTAGTTGAAAGGAGAAATGAACTCGTCGGCGCAGAGGCCCTTGACTGGGAAACCCAGGGCTTCAGCATTTCGAGCAAGGCCGTCAAGGACGTTGAGTCGGATGAGGAGCTGTAGTTGGCTGGGCCGAGGGGCATTAAGGCTGTAATCCTGGATCGTGTCCATAAGCAAAGCCTGGATGGAAGCCGATTTCCTGGGACAAGGGGGGAGCAGGTGGCCTTGGAAGGGTACCATTTCACATTTCTGGCGCGTGTCTGGCAGGGGGGCTTGTGTCGAATGCGACTCAGCCGACGATGCTGTGCCGGCCGAATCAGAACTTCGAGCACTTTCCTGCTGGTCCTTCGTTCTCCTTCCTGTGAGAATAGGCGTGTCTTGTCAGCCGACGGTACGATAGGATAGTGATCCTGAGGGAGGGCATGATATGTACTAACGGTAAGCTCTCTGACTTAGACGATTCTGCCGCTTCTTCCTCTCCGCAGGGCTGGTCACTCCTCTCCAGTCGTCCATTGCGACGCGCATCTCGGATAATTCGAGTACCATTGTGTACCTCAACCTTGCTGGGACTCAGCTGTGCGGCGATGTATGTGGCTGGGCGTCGTGGTGACGGGATTCAGAACTGCGGATGGGCACTACTTGTAGTCTCATGCAAGCGGCTTATGGTGCATTAGGGCCCGTTGTGGGCCAACCAACTCAACGACCACTTACGTCCATGTCTCTGACTAGCGGATCTGGAGCTTGTTGTGAAGCTTCAGCTCAAAGGCAAAGCATGGCACATGTTAGTGACCACGAATTCGGACATTTGGCAGCTGCTGAGAGATTATTTAAGTAACACGACGGGCCGGCTTCTTTCGATTGCAAATCCGCTCTTTACTCGTCCAAACATACTCAGAACTCCAGGACAAAGATCCAAGATCAGCTCTCAAACATTACTTGAAAGCCCTGTCAACACTGAACAACACGGTATTAAAAATACTGACTCCTACCTGAGAATCTGGCCAAATGTCGACCAAAATGCAGTACACCAGGTAAAATTTCTCCCTGAACTCAATCATTCAGTTTTACAAACCAGATGATTCCGCCCTTGGCACCCTTGACAACACCCAATGACCTTGATTTGCCTACAGACTCGGCAAGTCCGGCCTCAAGACATCCCGCATTGTCTTCGGTGGTATGAGCTTTGGCGACAAGAACTGGCAGCAATGGATCCGTCCCGAAGAGGAGGGTCTGCCCGTTCTCAAATACGCCTTCGACCGCGGCATCAACACGTGGGACGTTGCTGACACGTACTCCAATGGCGAGTCGGAGAGGATCATTGGAAAGGCCATCAAGAAGTACGATATTCCCCGATCAAAGCTTGTTATCATGACCAAGTGCTACATGTACGTCGACGAGGCTGGTGGCGCGGTCAACCCCCCTCGCTCTATCACCAACGATGGCGACATTGTCAACCTTGTCGGACTCTCAAGGAAGCACATCTTCGACGCCGTCGACAAGAGCATTGAGAGGCTCGGAACCTACATCGATGTTCTTCAAATTCACCGTCTCGATCGCGACGTCGAGCCGGAAGAGATCATGAAGGCGTTGAATGACGTGGTTGAGAGCGGAAAGGTTAGGTACATTGGTGCCAGTACCGTAAGATTTACAAGCCCCGAGTACAAATTTCGAGCTCATACTAAGATTCAAATGTAGATGGCCACCTGGGAGTTTCAAAGACTTCAGAATGTTGCCGAAAAGCACGGATGGCACAAGTTCATCTCGATGCAGGGCTTATACAACCTCCTCACCCGCGAGGATGAGCGCGAAATGATTCCCTTCTGCAAGGCAACCGGCGTTGGCCTTATGCCGTGGTCGCCTCTGAGCGCGGGTATGCTCACTCACGCGTGGACAGACCGATCTGACTCTCGTGAGAAGTCAGACGTCTTCCTCAAGGCACTGTTCCGCGGTCGCGAGGATGCGGTTGATGAGGCCATTGTCGGACGTGTGGAAGAACTTTCTAAGAAGAAAGGCATCAGCATGGCACAGATTGCGATTGCATGGGTTCTGAGTAAGGGAACATCTCCCATTTGTGGTCTGGAAAGCAAGGAGCGGATTGACCAGGCCATTGAGGCACTGACGGTTGAATTGACGGAGGATGAGATCAACTTTTTGGAAGAACCCTATTTGCCGAAGCCTGCCTTCTTTGCGTAAGGTTCATAGAAGGATTCTACAAAACGAGAGGGTTTCTAGGCAATTTAAGGGCCAACGTACAGATGAGTGAACGGCTGACACAGGGAGAGAAGAATGGGCTTCCAAAGACTCGGGTAACGAGTTATGACCTTCACCACGCCATCTAGTCTCCAAGTAGCTGCGGTCATATGTTAGTATCTTTCAAGCCGATTGAGGAGGCTCCTCAACTTTGTGCTTTGTGTTGGCATACATATCATACATGCATACATATATTAGTTGTCTGCACGAAACTCTGTTGATGGCGCATGTGCCACGGCACGATCTAATCCATCACATATATTGTGGTTTCTCGCAGGCTATCTTATGATTTTGTCACTTGATTACGCTACACTAAGTCTATGCTTGGTAGTTACTGGATTTTTGGCGTACAGAATTTTTGGCGCAAAGGACACGAGAAGAGTAGATAAAAACGATAATCGTCAGAGATCACGTAGTATTGGGACTGGCTACAACGTTAGGAGTAGCTTTTAGATCTTCTTTATTAATGCGATATACAGACAAGCGACAGAAGAAAGCGCTGGCCTGTTATGTGGCTGAGCCACTGACTAAGCATGTCTACCCGCATAGGTTCCACCATCTTAATCATCCAACGCCACAAGGTGGCGCCAGAAGGAACCAGCCATTGGGTTCTAGCAACAGCGCAAGGCTACTTCAAAACTTCCCCAGAATCCCCGTCGCGACCGACGCCAGCCTTCCCACGAGCATCACCACCGGTCTCCTGCCGCCGACACCATCAAAGCACCCTTCGACACCCTTACCAGGCACCACCGTATCCCTCCGCAGCCATGGCCAACTTCCTCGCCTCCATTTTCGGCACCGAGCTCGACAAGGTCAACTGCTCCTTTTACTTCAAGATCGGCGCCTGCCGTCACGGCGACCGCTGCTCGCGAAAGCACGTCAAGCCCTCGTACAGCCAGACGATTCTCATGCCGAACCTGTACCAGAACCCGGCCTACGACCCGAAGAACCGCATGAACCCGAGCCAGCTGCAGAACCACTTTGACGCCTTTTACGAGGACATTTGGTGCGAGCTATGCCAGTACGGAGAACTCGAAGAGCTCGTCGTCTGCGACAACAATAACGACCGTGAGTTTCATCTTCCCTTTTTTCTGGGCGAGTTGCTTCCCGCAAAGGATCTCCTTTCTCGCGGCAATGTGTGTGTGTGTGTGATGACCATGCTAACGGAGACCCCAAGACCTCATCGGCAACGTCTACGCCCGCTTCAAGTACGAAGATTCGGCGCAAAAAGCCTGCGACGCGCTCAACTCGCGCTGGTATGCCGCGCGGCCCATCTACGCCGAGCTGTCGCCCGTGACCGACTTTCGCGAGGCCTGCTGTCGCCTCAACTCGGGCGAGGGCTGCGTGCGCGGCGGTTTCTGCAACTTTATCCACCGCAAGAACCCCTCGGACGAGCTCGACCGCGAGCTCGTCCTCAGCACCAAGAAGTGGCTCAAGGACCGCGGCCGCGACGAGAGGAGCCCCTCGCGCAGCCCGACGCCCGAGCCGACGAGGCGGCGGTTCGCTTGAGCGGGTGAGAGCAAAGGGAGAACTTAACTAGTTTTCAGGGCGAACCAGTTTGAAAATAAAAGAGAAAAAAAAAATGGAAGTGGGATGGGGCGCCCTTGCAATTCCAAGGGCTGAGAAGAAAAGGCAGGATGCATTGTATGATACCCCGTAGGGGATGAAGGAGAGGAAGGGAACATGTCATCACGAGAGGGCGTTGGGCGTTTTGGGTTCGCGAGTGTAGGGCAGAACCTTTGCCGAGATGGCCGAAACACGTCGCTCACATGTAGTCAGGACCAGGAATCTGTAACTTTTGAACCCTACGTTGATGCTTCAGCGGATCGTGTTTGTATCGACTCCATTAACCCCCTCCCCGTGACGGTGCGCTTATCTACAGAGAGACCCGTACATGCGTGTGTCGTGTCATCATGGTATCCCTTTTCTAACCGACTGTTGGCCCCATTCCCGCCCGGATGTCCCGAATGCTTCCTCCCCCAAAAGCCAACCTTGTGTTCAAGCCATGTGGTGGCCTGCGCTGATGTGCAGCTCCCCCACTCGCTGCTTCTCTCGAGGTCGTGGGTCTAGCCATGTAGCGGCCCTTTCACTTCTCCTGCGCATCCTGGAAGTCATCTTCGCTTGTGTCGGCCCTCTTCAGGTCGGGCACGTTCTTCTTGAGATCGCCGACAAAGTCAATCAGCGGCCCATCTGCCGCTGGCTTGCCCGTCTTACTCAGCATGCCCGCGATATCCTGAGAGTCGTGTCTGGTCACCTGGGGTGCCGTCGTGGCCGCAGCAGCAGCAGCAGGCTGGGTTGTGGGTGCTGCTGTCTCGGAGTGGCTTAAATCGATGAGATCATTCTGGGGCGCTGCTACGGGAGCCGCAGCAGGCGTAGGCTCGGTTGCAGGCGGAGGTGTCGCTGCCTCCGTGGCCTTTGGCTGGTTTTGCGCGGGCTTGTTCGGTGGGATCTGGTTCTCGGAAGAGACCTTTTGTCCGGGCAGTATGGGATAAATGGCCAGGACCTGCTCAGCCTGCTTCTCGGGTGTCTCACCGTCACTGATGAACGCGTTAGTATCCTCAAGTTGTGGCGTCATGGTGCCGTAAGACTCACATGTTGGCGTTGATGATCCACTCGAGGTCCTCCTCCCCCTCCTCGGGACCGCCGGGACCGCCGTTGACCGGCCTGAAGAGCCTCGGGCGCCACTCAACGCCATCCCGGTTCCGAATCTCCCGCTCCTCGCGCTGCATGTCTTCGACCTTGGTTTTCTCGTCGGTGGCGAGTTCGTGATTGCGCTCGCGGACCGCTTGCGCCGTAGCCTGCCAGAGCTTCTGTGACTCGCGCTCATCCTGTTCCTCGATGGGCCGTACGGACGGGCTGCTTGGTTTCGATGTTTTCGCGTTGAAGAACATCTCCTTGTGGCCAGTCTACTATGCATTAGCATGCTTCTCACGACGAGTTTGCGCGGTCGTTACCTTGACGTCCTTGATGAACATCTCATCGCTCCACAGGCCTGAAAGCTCATACAAGACCTCGTCGGTGCTCTCTCGTTTGATGAAGCCGCCAATGGCGTTGTAGGTACCGCCGACCCAGCCTTTGGTCTTAAACTCAATGTCGGCCACGAGGTCGAGCTCGGGGCAGCGCACGAAGCTGTGGTCGCCGAGCTCGTACTTCATCTTGCCGAACAGAATGCCGCGGGCGTACATGTTGGGCTGCGTCAGCATGCTAAATGCACAGTCAGCGTTGGATCCAACCAGCGGAGCCGAGATCGAGGGAGTACGCACTACCGCTCGCCCTTGGCCGTGTCCTTGCCCCTGTTCAGGAAGGTCAGGGTAACGGTGCCTTCCATCAGACTGGCGGCCGAGTTGCCGAGGAACTTGCTGCGAGGCTTCAGGCAGCCATCGACGCGGATGTGGTGGTCGGGGATCATGTAGAAGTAGCTTGACTTGGGCGGGTGATGGGAGGTTTGTTCGGCAATGTAGTAGGCCCGCGTGCTGTCTGGCAGATCCCAGTAGCAGCTGAAGACTTCGCCAATAATGGGGTTGAGGGGTTTCTTGACACCTCTATAAGCCATGTTAGCGATTTCGTTTCGTGTAGTTTGAACGTTGTTGACCGCGGGGTTGTACTGACGGAGGTCGGATGTGCCAGCCGCTGAGGTAGAACTTGACAACGGAGGCGAATCGCTGCGTGGGATCGTCGATCTCGGGTATAGGAAGAAGCATTTCGGGGTGGCACATGAAGCTGGAGGATTGTCAGCATGGCCCATCGGCGAGACAACATGTCCAGAGGCTGGGAGGGTTCAGAGATGGAGGGGTTCTGACTTGGTGATTCTCTCGAGCATGCTGCGAGGCTCCAGGATGAAGGTAGGCAAGACTACTCGACTAAGATCGGCACCCGGCCGGAGCTGGGAAATAATGTGAGTGAGCACTGCATGGCAAAAGCAAATGTCAGTTTCGAGTTCATGGGATCTGGCGCATCGCGGGGTATAGCTTCGAGTCGCATTGCATTATTGCTTGTCGCGTCGCATCGAACCGTATCGCGGGGCAGCTGGTCGCGCAGTGTATATTTTTTTCTCTCTCCCTAAAAGACGGGAAGGGGGCCAGAGTTGAGGGGTACGCACCGTTGCCCTGATCAGGCTCGACAACCAGGGTGTCATCATCTTCGCCTGGCTTGGCGTCGGCGGCCGTATGGTTCGAGCCGTTGCTCGCTGCTGGTGCAAGCCAGTTTAGCATGTTGAGCGAGACAAGATGGAGAACGTCGTCTGGGACGTGGTGGGGTGGGAAAGATCGTGACGTTGATGGTCGGAGGGGTCGGCTTCAGGTGAATCGGTGGGGGGGATGCGGTAGATAGGGGACCTTGGGGGGACTCGAGACTCACTGAGCGAAGCGGATCGCAGGCGAGCTGGCACATGTACCAAGCCCATGACTGCGACTGGTGCCTACTAGTAGCTACGGCAGCTGACTGTGTGAGGAGGCACTATGTATGACCTGCAAAGCGCGCGCCCCTCTTCCGGGCGGTCGGGCTAAAACTGGCGCCTGTGGACTCGGGAATGGGAATCCTGGGCGTCGAATTTGTTCCACTTCGGAGAGCTGAGGGAGCCTGCTCGTGTCGGCCTGTAGGTGCTGGGGAACAGGAACGAGTCAAGGGAATCCCGGCGGTTTGGTTATCGAAAACCCTTGAAGCGCTGACGCGGCTGGTCAGATCGAGCTGCCTGCGGTGTGGAAGCTGGCTTCGGGGCGTCTTGTAAGATCAGGCAGCTAGGTGCAGCGGTAGAGCTTCGACAGGATTTGTGCGAAAGCGAAGGTGGTATCGTCAGAGGGGGAGGAAAGGGCCGAGAGAAGTGCTGTTGACCTGCCGGGAGTGGCGGAAATGTCGAATAAATAGGTCGCACAGACGGGTAGGCCGCTAAGGATGTAGGTATGGGTTGTATATAATGAATGTGACCGAAGAAGCCGGCGTCCGGAAGGGTGGAATTGGGAAGCTGGGCAGCGCTGGCGTTTGGGCGTGGTGTCTTGGGTTCCAACTCTAGGATCCGTCTTGTCTTATCTTAGGTGCGTCTTGGGTCGTGGGTAATGGATATTTCGCGGAACTGGGTGCAGGTGAAATGACATGAGTTTTGCGTAACTCACGACTGACACCACAAAGGCCTGTTCAAGGAAGCTGGTGTAAATACTAATGCCCAAGGACGGAGACGTGGAATGTGCCCGGGTCAGTAGTGGCAGTGGTCAAGCCCTGTGAAAGGGTTGGAAGTAGGAGAATCAGGTTTCGCGTTGCGAGCGCTGAGATCGCTGTGTCTGGTGAGATCGGGCGATGATTTACACTTGCTGCTGCCTCGGAGGTCAAGGGGCGTCCCGGATGGTCTGGTCAGGAAGGGCTACAAGCTACGCCGTGGCGGAGGAAGGTGTTGAGGCACAGCTGGGTGGTTCATGAAGATGGCACCGGCACTTTATGGCTTTGGTGAGACAAGAGGCAAACACAAGCTACCTTCGGGTGGCAAAGCTTCACTGCAAAGTAAACGGTGACAATGCTCTCAGCACGTCCATTCTCCGGGTCGGGCGAAGTGCACCCAGCCCTGCTGCCCGCGTTGGCCACTAGAGGTTGGTGGTGATAGCACGAGTACAGACGAATGGGTGGTGACAATGACGACGGTCGATGTGCCAAAGACCTGAGCTGTCCAGTGGAAAGTACCTTGCTAGCAGGTGTCATGGGATGGTGCTAAGGCCTGGCCCCTCCCGCGCCCCAGTGCCGTTGGAGCAATGCGCTACGTAGCCTTGTGGCAGCCCCCTACCAGAACTCTCTGTAGCTGCACCTCCCAGTGGATAAGTCTCAGGGCTTGCAGGGGGCAGGGTCGGCCTGTAAGGGGGTGGAGGGGGGGGGGGACAGGGCGCGCGCTCGGTGTGGTAGCGGGCGGGGCGAAGGAGGGGCAGCCGTGGCCCCCAACCACTACATCATAGCCGTCTCATGACGACATTTTCACTGTCTGTTGGTCTTGACCTCAGATGATCGATCCAACGTCAGCCAGCCGCTGGCCGTTGAAGCTGCGGCTTACAGCATAGAGGTTCGTTACTGACAAGCAAGGCGTTTGTGACCACTCAACCCCCCTTCACTAAGGTACAGTAGGTACATCAACCACGCCCTGCACACGGATCCTGCATGAACATTTCTTTCGCTTGCGCGACAAATCTGATCAACAAAGTCAATCCAATCACCGCTTCTCCCACCAACACCCAGCACCCCTGCAAAGACCCCTCATCCATCCCACTCACTCACCCACAAACTTTTCATCGGAGACTCGCTCATGGCTGAAGTCCGTGGCAGTGCCAGCCTCCGCAGTGTCGCATCATGCACAACCTTCGCCAATCCCGCGGGCCATGTCCTCCTCCACCGCCCTCCCTCGACCCCTCGACCCCTCGCCGCGAACGTCGAGTCGTCGTATTCCATTCGCGAGCCCTTGGTGAGGACATGGGCGATTAAGGGGGGAGGGCCGTGTTCCTCGCATCTTCAGACATGCTGAGAAGTACGAACCCTCGCACTTTTCGGATTCGGCTCACCCACCCGGTACGATTTGCGTCCCATCTCTCTACTTATCTGCCTTCTACTGGCTGGTACGCCCGCTCAGTCTTCTGGCGACACAGGAGTAAAGCGAAATTTCAATCGTGTTCCTAAGGGAACCTTACTGAACGCCTCTCTATAATTGCTTCCGGGCTATGCTTCACTACAATGGATCATTCCTGAACCGACCGTGGCAATATGCTACAGTGGCACGCTGTAGGTTTTTACAAGGTCTTTACAAGGTCGACAAAGACTTTACTTATCCCTTTTGTCCCTTGGCTGTGACATCCACATATAGCCATGACGGGGCTGGATTATTCGGGACTTGTTTGCTTGACAGTCCCTCCAAGCAAGGCCAGGAGAGTGAAACCAAGTCGGAGCCGCTTAAGAACGGGCAGCCGAAATTGGTTGGATCGGTCCCGGCGGCCGAGAGGTGGAGACTATGGGACGTCCATCGGCTCGGGCTCCAGGTCATGCACCTCTCACCACGAGTCGTTCTCGCAGCATGCCTAACAGAGCTTGGCTGTCAGGCGGCTAGCCTGTGGAATCAATCACTTGGCCTTTCAAGGACACGATGGATTTTAGAAAGCCTTCAATTGGCCTCAATTTTGCTTCAGACCTTCGTACGCCTATCCGCGCCCAACCAGGCGGTGGAGCGTCTTTTGCTGCAATCATCCATCATGACTAGCAGTTCTCTACTGCACGCACGACGAGGGTATCTCGCATTCCGCCCCCTCACCTACGATACAGGGTTTCGCCACGGGCGCCGTCTGTCAATCCAAATACATCCTTGTCGCTGACCATATGCCATGCTGTGTCTGATATCATGTCGCTTCAGCACTCACATTCTACCCTAAAAATTGATCTTGCTAGCGAGCCGGGACCCGCCCTTCACAGGTGCCGGAAGACACTGGCACAGGCGTTCGCGATCTTAGGACACAGGTCAGTAACGTTCAAGCTTCCTGCCGCGTTCCAATGTGATGGACTTACCGGCTTCGTTCTCGAATAGGAACGAAACATCGTCATGTTCTCCAGGCAAGTCCGGGAAATCGAGACATATAAAACCCATGTCGTCTGTGGGACCTTCATTATCAACTGGCATGCGTGGGAGCGGAAACTTGGCATCGACGAATCGAAGACCGAATTTGCCGCTGCGAGAGAACGTTTCATAGACATCTGTTCCTTTGAGAACAAAGTTCATGCATTGTCCATGCTTGAAGTCGGGGAAGAAGGCGAGTAGCTGTGGAACTGTGTCCTGCTGCACCACCTGGACTCGCGTCCAGCCGGCTTCCCATTTTTTATGAACAGGGACCACCATTCGCCGGCGGGTAATGGAAAACCCAACGGCAAGACTGTCATATTTGACCTGGAACCCCGTGAGGGCTGCTTGGAAGGCGTGAAGATCCTTCAAGCTGGGGAACTTGAACGTCCGGATGGACTGTGTCGTCTGCAACATCTGCAAAGTCTGCTCCATTTCTTTCGGACTTTCCCGGCCGACTTGAGAATCGGATACAGCCATCGTCACGTCGTTCTGAGGCCGCCTCAATACGACAAGTGTCTTGGCATCACTGACCTCCAGCCTGACCCGGAGTTCGCCCGTCTCAACGTTGACGCGGTCGGCAATCGTGCCCACCTTGGAATCGACAATCACTCTCAGCTTGTCGGAGAGCACCGTTGGCGGCATATCGTCACCTCCGTGGTCATCATTGATGACACGGACCGATTGCCAAGGAAGCTTGCTGATGCCGGGCAATCCTTTGGAGTCGTCCAAAGAGTGGCTCAGGGTATAGCCTACTAATGGGACGTCTGCGTAAATGGTCTCATCGTTCTGCACCGCCGTGCCAGTGAGGAGTGTATGGAAGTTCAGACGCTCAGCTTCGTCCTTGAAGGAAAGCACCATGCTGCCCTTGTAGCGCCCATTGTCGCACTTTAGCAGGAGGGCTGGGTCGCCACCTTCACCTCGGAGGAAGCCATATGGGATCGGTTGCTGTGGGGTCCAGGGAAGATTGATTCCGCTCAAGGTCCGGGTATGCGGGCCAGACACGACGGCAAGCCTGTACCCCCTGTGGAAGGTGCGAGGGCCTGTCGGCGTCTTTTCCTTCAAATACTTCTCAAAGAGTGCTATGTCGCAAGAAGGTACTGGCTCCTTGGGGAAAGATCGGGACTGTGCATCAGCGTCGAAGAACTGGAACGTTCGCAGTGTCGCGTGGAATATGCATTGCTCGTCCTGCCGAGGGTACAGCGTATCCTGCGTCTTGTTGCCGAACTCGTACATGTTCCATATCATCCTAAAATCTTGTTGCATACACTGTACCGCAATCTTGAAGCCTCGAGGAAGAAAGATCTCAATAATGCACGTTTCGCTCCTCCATCGCACATCATTCCAAGTCGGACCGGTGTTTTTGTCCTCTGAGATTCGCAGGTGGACCTCTCCGTTTTGACTTGCCAAGACCAGGTTTAACGAGGCCTGGTTCCTGGCTCTAACAGCAGATAGCAGGCTCTTGAAATGGTATGACTGGGATTCTCGGCCTTGTTCCATGAGGTAGGCGTCCACAGAGATGCGGCTAAAGTTGAAAAGATCCGGAGTGTCGTTGATTGGCAAAGCGTCCAGTCCTTCTCTTACCGTCGGAGTTTGCAAGACGCCCGACATCGCCGCAGCCGAGTTGCCCGTAAGAAGAGCAATCATATCCTGACTCAACTTGGGGTATTCAACCCATATGGATTTATCAATCGTCTGCGGCAGGAATGCCTCTTCGGGAGGCAGGAAGCCATTACGCTTCATGGATCCAGCCAACTTACCCAGCGCAGACACCACGAGCTTCCGTGCTTCGTCGACCTCCGAATCCGGCGGTAAACGTTTGTTCGACATCATCTCGGGAATCGCTTCTTCAGAAAGCCAGTGCGCTTTCGCCAGGTTTGTATACGCCTGTTGGCGTTCCATCTCGTTCTGCATCTGTTCCTTTGGGCTTCCTGGCCGCGCCCTAATTGCGTTCTCGAGGCCCATCCGGCCCTTGAGGAACCACCATAGCGCTGCCCTGATGAGTTCTGGAGTGGAGCAGGCGCCCACTGGCCGAACGGTCTCTGCATGCAATCGGAACAACTCGCTCAAGTGGCGTGTGCGTGTGACAAATATCATCAGGGCATCGTCCCCCAGTGGCGTAGGGGCGTCTTGCAAGTTGAAAGAGGGTTGGCGGTTCGTTGCCGAAGAAGGTGGGGCCATCGTGCTGCCAGCATAATGCGAGTTGACGCTCTGTTGACGCGAAATGTTGGCTTGCTGACCGTGACCGCTGAGAGTCGAGTATACAGAGGATGGGCTCTGGTCTGGTTGGGAGGGGGGCTTGTTGTACTGGGTATTGTGTTGCGTTTCGGGAGAGATGGGGCGCGCGCTGGAATACTGTGGTGGTGTGGCGGCGGGGGCCGGTCCCAATGCCGCAGGGTGTGGCGATGAGCGCAGCCGGTCAAGTGGTGACTGCTTGATCTCTATAGCATCTTCCCAATCTCGCTGCTGCGCATGCTGCTGCTGTTGTGCCTGAGAAGTGCCCGCAGACCGGGCCGCTTCCGCGAAAGCCTTGCCCTCCGCTTGCCGCATCTCCGCCTGCTGTATCTCGAGGAACGACCTTCTGTTTTCATCTTTGGCTCTGCTATTTGAAGTGTCCAAAAACCTAGTCCGCGCGGCCACTCCAGGCACGTCGTCTTGCCTTGAGGCAGTGGCTTCTCTAGCGGACGTGTAGCCAGTCTGGGTGCGCTTGATAGGATTCGGGATAAAATCGTCATACGGTGGAGGGTCGGCTGGTTTTGGTGGCTCTTCGTACGCACTCGGGGCCCGGGCGGACGGAGGCGGTCGTAGCTTCTTCTGCTTGGATATTTCTATCGTGGGGTGCGGTGACTCGTCACCACCCTCGCCGATCACCTCGGGCTGGGTGTCAGCAAAGCGGACAATGCAACCTTTTCTGTTTCTTTTGGGCGCGCGGGGCGGGGTCTTGGGGCGAATTTGTAGGGGAAGACTGTTCTGCGAACCGCCGCCGACATCGTGAGCTTGAGGATAGCGCGATGCGTTCCTCGTGTCAAGCTTCGAAAGCGTGGGTAGAGGCGGCGCCGAGGGGGCAGTGGTAGGGTGAAGCGAGTCGGCGGACGCATGCAGGAAGTCGTTCACATTGAGAGCATTGTCGGTCTGCTTTCGATCTTTGTTGTCCTTGGCACCAAACAGCTTACCCATCAAGCGACCGCGACGTGAGGAGCGGCCCTCTTCGACCTGGGTGTCACTGTCCATCGTAGAGGGAACGACGCTCGTAGAACGCCGGCGTCATGAGAAGAGGTCCTGCCAGCTGACGAGAGCGCATTAGCATGAGCGAGAGCATTGGCAATAGCACCAACGGGAACGGCTGCAAGAAGGCGTGTTGCTAGGCCTGCATACTGCTCGGGTGCGCGTGGTCTGACAGGGCAAGAGTACTGACCTCGTGGGCGTCCTGACGATTATGTACGAGCTGAAGCTGACGAGGGGGGGCGGTAGAATGGAGGGGGGGCACAGCGCCTCAATCGCGGGTGCAAGGGCAGTCACGATTGGAGCTGGCCGATTGTCCAGGGACGGATAGCGCCAAGACAAGCACGTGTGGTTCGTGGGATTCCGCGCACGTAAGACCGGGGCAGTGCGCTGCGCAGCAACTCGAGATGTCGAGGGCCGAGAGAATGCTGTCTAGGAGGAAGAGGGAAAGAGGGCAAGAGAGCAAAAGGAGCAGTAATGGACAGGTGTAGATTGACGATCACAGTCGCACCAACGGGAGGGCTATTGTTGACACGGAATCTACCAAGGAGGAAAGCCGGGGCAGGGCCAGTCGGGTTGGGCAGGCATGGACAGGCAAGGGGAGGGAGGGTAAGGCCAGGCAGGTACAGACGACGGGTCAGTGGATGATGCAGTGACCTGACTGATGTAAGATGGTGCGAGCGAAGGTTCCATGCCCATGCAAAGTCTCGTCTGGCCAAAGACACAGCGGAAGGCGCAACCTAACACCACCAGCGAGAAACGGGAGGAGCGACCTCGCCTGGGACGCAGGTAAGCGGGCGGGCGGGCGGGCAGGCATGTGCAAGCAAGGGGTTTCAGGTTCGAAGCGATCGTCAACGACCATTGCCAACCTAGCATCCCATCTTCCCACGACACCGGCCATTACTTGGTACATCTGCCATCCACACTGGCTTGCCGCCCCCCTTGCGCTTCCACCAAGGCCAATAGATGCCAATGACATCGGTGGGCCGTGGACCCTGAAGCTGCTCCCTATCAAAGGTCGCGCCAGCCCGAGCCCAGTTCCCACATTTTCCACACCGGCCCCCTCCCCCTTGGAAAGGCTGTCATAATATTACCGATTCTTGGCTCGCCTTGTCCGTAAAGACACGGGCTCTTGTCCTCAATCGAGCCTTGCCCGGCATTTGGTGAGGTAAAAGTGTCCCGGCTAGAATCAACACCATCAGCCCGCCGCTGCTATTTTAAGGCCCGTCGAATGTGTCTGGATCGGACCCCATCTTCTGGATCTGGCCGCAAAACGCCAGCTCCTCGTGTTTTTTTACGCTTAACGAGTTTACTCCACGGCACGAGGTCCAGTGATTGATGGAATGTCGTTTTTAATAGCGCGATACGAGAGAACTCGGCCGCCTTCCCCGCCAGACCCTCTACCCCCCTCACAAGCCTCGCCTGTTTCAAAGTTACCCGTGGCTGAGGACGTGAACACGCGCCGAGGCAACACACGAGTCCCTCTACGAAGAACGTTCGTCAAAAGACAGTACATCAAGCAGACGACACATTTCCACCTAGGTAGGATCACGAGTCGATATTCGATGTCTGCCTCTCTGGGCCTGCACAGTTCAGCGTGAAATGCAAGAACTGCGATCAGGTACGAGAAGAGCATCCCTAGAAACCAATCTTCACGCAGCGGCGTCAAAGATCTCGATTTCTTGTTACAAGCTCGCCAACCATTCACACCGAAAACAAGTAGTGAACCCCACATGACCGCAAACTCCGAACCTGACCACGGACTGAATGTCCTACCTATGCTCATGCCTCTGAGTAAAAACAGATGAAAGATACCCCGATTACAGCTCATGGACCATCTCCTTCAGTCGCTTCTCAATCCTTTCTCGACCCTCAAATGTCGACCACACCTGATGCGGTGCCTTCTCGACAATGTCCCAGTATTGCAGCTTCCTCGTCAGTTGGCTCAGGTCCCTCTGCTTGTCCTCCCACTGGCTGTCCCTGCGCATCTCAACCCCTGAGCTGATGAGGACCAGCGGCGTGGCAGGGTACTGAATTGCACGCGCCGAGGTCACGTCGCGCTTCGACAGAGTGTCCGCGACCAGGCTTTCTTGCAACTTGGCGAATATGGTCTTGCCGCTCTGAAGAGCCGCACAGCCCCAGATCCGATCATTTCCATTGCGGCCCTTGAAGAGCGCGCCCGGAAGCCTGTCAAGACCGAGCGGCGAGATAACGCCGCGCAGCCAAAGCAGGAAACCTCGCCCAGGTGTCGCGAAGCGGCCCAGCAGATCCTCATGGATAGGGTCGATGAGCATGATGCCGCGAACCTCTTTTCCGTGGCGAGAGGAGAAGACACGAGTGTACATCGAGCCAACTCCAGCGCCGGCAACCACCCAGGGGCCGGTCTCGCCAGCCCGGGCCAGAGCTTCGCTCAGAGCGTCAGTGGCCATTCCAGCAGACAGCGGCGAAGGAGCCGTGTCGCTCCAGGCGAAGCCAGGGCGATCGGCAAAGCAGTAGCGCGTGATCGAGCCGTTCTTGACGGCGTTGTCGGCGAATTGCCAGAGGCCATTCTCCACGGGCACCTCGCCGCCTTCGAACAAAACCGTTGGTAGCTTCTTGCCCATAGTGTTCGTGTGGTAACCTTCGCAGTGGACATGGATCTGGTATTTGTCACCGTCGACCCAGTATCGCTTGCCTGGAGGCGCCACGCCCGCATCGAGTGATCGGACGATGAGTGTCAAGGTGAGAAGAACGACGACGATCGACAGGATAACGTAGGCAATAGTCGAGAAGAGTACGGCGGTCCATTCGAGGACTGACCGCCTTGTCTCAATGCGACCGGTCAAACGTTCCTCCTCCTCAGCTTTGCCCCATTTAACAGTTCGGTCCGCAATCAGAGCCCATAGGCTTACGAATAGAGCCCCTATGGATGTTAGTATGACGGTCTGCAGCTCGCCGACTTTTCTCAGCCGTGCACTTTCGGGCCTGCAACTTACAGATGACACTCGTAATACCAACCCAGCCCTCTTCATGCCGATTCCGTTGCACTGCCAGCGTAATAATCATGTCGACAAACAGCATGAAGGCCATGAACACGCTGAGCATTCTCACAGCTCTCGAGGGCGCGCCGAAGAAGACCAAGACAAAAAGAATCGTAAAGAGCGACAGGCTTGCATAGCTAAACGAGTAAAAGCCAGAGCCTCTGGTGTGCATTCCCGGCGGCGTCACAAAGGTGGCAACGAGCAGCAGAGCCCACCAGATGAACGAGATGATGGCGAACAGCACTGTCGCGTAGCGCGTCGCCCGCACGGCCCACAAGTTGTAAGGACTCACGGCAGGGTCATCGGCCGTCAAGAAAGGCCGGTCGCTGTCAAGTCGGTTTGGCAGCAGTCGCGTGTGTTCGTTGGGCGCGGGCCGCAGGTCCTCGGCTGAGCGGCGAGGCTCTGTTGCGGATGCCGATTCGCCATTCGGCTCATTCTCATTGTCGTGCTTGTTGCTCGACCCAAACAGGGAAACCATTTTGATTTTGGTCTCGTGGTGACACGATAAAGATGTGGTCCTCCGTTACAGTCAAAGCCTGAATGTTATCAATCCGTCTTGCTGGTTGCTGTTGTTGTTGGCGTTGTGCACCTCTCTTCAAAGATGATGCAGCGGCGAGGTGTTGTCGAAGAGTCGAAAAGTCGAAAAGAAGAGAGAAGAAAGTGCGGCATTCGAGTGCCGACAGAATTCAAGGAAGGGCAATCGACAAACAATTCCGCTGTTCCAACCTAATAAATGCCATGCGTCCCAGACCAAGGGGCATTTTATCCCATTGCATTCCACTCCCGCCCCCCACTTCAGCTCTCGTCAAGCTTTCCTCATCGTGTACTACCAAGCTTCCCATCGAGTACGTCATTCCCCAGCATTGCGCTTTCGGGGCGATAGCTCCCCACTAGCCGCCCGCCAGCGCCCAATCTCCTTGGCCCACCACTGCCTCTCCTGCCCACCCCGGGACACTAGCTCCGGCCGGCGCCGCCGCTCCCATCGAAGATCCCCTCTCTGATCGCGGCCGCGAAGCAAGCTTTGGAGCCTGCCTCGCCTCAAAGCGGGAGGTGAGCTCTCGCTGCTCCTGCTGCTACTGCCGAAACGACAAGGCCTCACAAAGAAGCGTCGGCCGTGCTAGCTTGTGCGCCGGATCGGGTCTTGGACGAGTCGGGTGACTTGGCTGATTTCTCCCCTTCTGGACTGATCATGTTGGACGGTGACGCGACTGGGCGTTGAGTTCTTGGGGGCTGTTGCCTAGTTGGACTGGCGCGTGGCGGCATTGCGACACCCGATCGATCGTGAAAATGAAGAAGGGGCGAAACCAGTGGTGTTTCTCATGACCACGATAGCACGCTACCTGACGTGGTTCGTCATGCACCATGGAAGTGCTTGAGGTTCTTCAAGTCCTTGAATTTGTCCACTTACTTCTCCATGTTGGCAAGGAATGCAAGAAAGCTTTGAAACCCTTGATTTGAGACATTACGACCTCGACACTTGGTCAGCACTCGGCCAGTATCACCAGGACATGCTCAAAAAGAGAGCCATGAATTAGTACTAGATTTGTTATTGGATGATTAAGCGCCCGGACGGGCCAAAAAGGGTATCTTGAAGAAAGCTGATCAACGAAAGAGACGGCAACGTAGAAAGAGCAAAACGACGCTTGCAACATGCGACTGATCGAGGGAGGCTTGTGCACTCGATGTCTCACACATGGACGCCCAACACACCAAATTCGTCCTCCACCACCACGGTTCAGCATTCCAGCGAGCCATGACAGGCTTCAAGAATGATTCTCCTTCCATCAAATTTATTCCGCCAAGACATTGCAGCACGGCAAGAACTTGTACTCAGGAGGCCCAAGGAGCGATAATGTTCCGATCCTTGAAGCTAGAGGTTGATCCAGAGGAGTTGGACTGCGCCGTCTTTGGCGGAGTCCCAGCGTACGAGGGGCTGTTCAACCTCTGCTCTGCCCGTTTCCGTGCCATTTTGGCGGGATCAGGTCCGCCGGATGGTTTGGTGGCGCTCTTCGGTATTTGGCCGATGGGGGCATGCATTTTGGCCTGTGCGTTCGGATCACCCATGCTGATGCCTCTCCGTTGGTATTCTTCCTTCTTGAATTGTTTCCAGTCGTGGGCCGATGGTTCGCCAGCACTGAACCACTCTTTTACTTGGCTGAGCCACCGCCCTTTGCCATCCTTTTGTTTTGCCTCACGACTCCCAGTCTTATCCTTCCGACGAGTGCCATCACTGCTTGTAATGGACGTGCTATACTCGGAGATGGAGCGGTTTCTTGATGTTCGAGACGACGATGGCGGAGGGCTTGCTGCAAACAAACCCGCACTCTCAGTCCTTGCCGGCATGGTGAGGTTTTGTGTGTCAACTGACGTCGCAGAGTGAGGTTCTTTCTTTCCAACTGCTGTACCGAGCTTATCCCACGGCTTGCCCATCAAGTCACTCGTAGTCTCTGGTGTGATGGCTGTTCTCGGAACTAACCCAGGCGAAACGAAAGAGTGGACAAAGGCAAGTCTGCTGTCCAACGAGTGAACAGACCTGTGTCGTGGAGTCGCTGGAAGGTACGACCGCCGCCGAACCTTCTTTTGCTTGGATTCAAGGGGTCGGTTATGGAACTGAACAGATGAACTCCGGCGAGACCGAGGCAGGAGAGGCTCAGATGAATTCCGACCCTCTAAATCGTAAGGCTCCCGATATGAGGGCTGCAGACTCGTGGTCTCCTTGCTGGAGAGACTGCTTCGACGATACTCGTCCACTGAGGTCGCTGTGTCGGCGCCTGTAAGGGTGTTGTAGTCCACGCCAATGCAGAATGAGGAATCTAAAGAATGGTCCTCTGCTTGTCGGTTCGGCTGTCCAGAAGCTGCCCAGTGCTAGAGGGAGCCGTCAGTGTCAGGCACAGCTAGGATGCGCCGCGTAGGCGAGCGCGGCGACGAGTTGCAGGCTTGACTGAATGTGTTCCAAGAAAACGATTGACGCCTCTGATCAGACTTGGGTGCCGATGTTCGAATTTTGAAATGCCCAAGAGTTGTGGGGTAAGAGAAATTTCGCAGCGCCGGCTTTTGGGTCGCTGTGTCAGTTTGTAGATTGTCCCGGGTATTGATGTGTGACTTGAAGCGGCCAAATGAAGGCATTGTTTGGTTGGCAGTGGAAGTAGATCTGTCTCGATGAATTCGGATGACCGGTGTAGCCAGTAGATGAGGTCTGGTTGTGCGTTGCGCAGGGGTGATGTCAACATGCAGGCAGAGAACTGCAGTTGAGTGGTTCCAGCTCTTGGGATTCGTCCGAGTGATTACTACATCAAACAGCCATAGCTGAAGAGGGCTTTCAGTTGTAAGACGGTGTGGTGATACAGGGCGAATTTGACGTCTCGCTGGCGGCGATGAGCTCCAGTGGTGCTGAATACTAGTGTGATGAACCAAGCCAGCACCGTGTCGGTGCGACGAGTGTAACGAAACGCAGAAATTGTAGCCCAGCTTCCAGGAGCACCTGTCTCGGCGAACGATATTGAAACGAAGGACAATAGCTTCCAACGCCAACAAAGGACGTCAAACGTCTTCTTTGCTCCCAGTACGCGTCTCTGAAGAAGATCGACAAAGAGAGAGGGGTGGGGGAGAGGACGACCACGGGCACTACATGTGGCAGTGAGACATGAGGAAAGATGAACCGGGGGAGTGTTCCAACGGCCACGGGAGGCAAGTGGGGAAACCTAGACTTTGATCGGACGGAAAGGAAGTCGCGACTCATCATCTTGACTACCTACCAGGCACCTTCCCAGGGTCTGTTGAATCGCGCAAGCCACAGCTCGGTGTTCTACGAATCGACTGGTGCGAGACCGATAGGCGGAGCTCGACTACAGAGGATTCGGATGGAGGTCTGAAGGTGCATTACGCTAAATGGACTGGGGTGGAACGCTCAGCTCCCCACGCCTCGACGCTCAACGCCGAGCTTCCTTGGGGCATCGTAGTTGGTGGCGCTTCCTTGGGCTTGGCTGGCCCATCTTCATTATGCCGAGATCATGTGCCACATATCTGTTACGAAGAAGCCTGGCGTAATATCTACATCCATGGGTGGGTAGGTGGTCTAATATGAATTATGACTTGTGATAAACGAGCATGCATATTGTGCCAAGAGCAGGCCAGCCGGCAGGCATACTCTTTGGAGGGTTTGCTTGAGATCAATACGAGGTCAGATGGCACAAGAGAGAAGGAAAACTCGCAAAGTCAGCCTGTAATTGGATAACGCTCAGGGCAGCAGACGACACCATGCTGATGGGAATCGTACCGATCGACTTGGGCGTGGCCGGCGTAAAATTGAGAGATCGGCTTTGGCAGGCTATCGTCCGACTGGTTCCTGTTCATCCATTCTCGCGGAATTAGGGCGCGGCTTGTCTTTTTCCCCCCTACTTTTCCTCATCTTCCATGTGACGGACCCATGTCGAGACCCTCGCCAGGCATTGACATGTGGGGATGAGCGCCCAAAAAGGCGCCTCCGCTGGCGGGATTTTCGATGGCAAAAACACGCGAAACACCCCGAACAGGCAAATGGCGTGTAGCGGCTTCGAGATCGAGGCCCTGTGAGGCGGCACTAGGGTCTCGTTGGCTGGCCACGCGGTTGAATAAAATATCGGATTAGCCGCTGCCGATCATCCCCAATGTTGGGTTGTATCTGATCAGCAAGGTGGCATGCACTCAACTCGAGTGTTGGGGCTTCCATCTGGTAAATTTGTTGGAAACGCCGTACCCCAAGGCGCTCGCTGCTGGTCTGGCAGACGCAGCCCGCCCAAAGGAATGACATGGGTGACCCGGGTCTCGTCAAATCTTGCATCGGGAGTCTGTGCAATGCGGGCCATCCTTGTAGTGTGCGTTGCATGGGGCACCGACTGCTGGGTTTTGCGAGGCCTGAATTGAGAAAAACACCAAGGATCATAAATTGGACCGGATTCCTGTTGCCGCGTGTTTGTTCAGCTCTTGTTGACGCACTATGAGCCGCATCCTCCGTGAACCTTGCTCAATAAACAGTTGAGAATAGTGTACGCCAAACAGGCATTTGGTTGAATCTCCTGAACTCTGGTCCTGAACACCTTACCAGACCTAGGTACCTCGCTAGGGGGATGGAGATGTTGCATCGTTGTCAGCTGCCAGAGGTGTGGGTGTCATAGCCAATGCGCCCTGCCAGTGCGCCAGCCATCGCCATTCAGTGATGACCCAGTGGTCTCGCCCCTGCGCTCAGACCACCCCCACCTCTTCACCCCGCCATGCCCGTTTGAAGCCGACGTCGCTCAAGGCCGCCGCACCAACCACCTTCCCTCAACACCACAGACCACCACCCATTGATACCATGCCTGGCCTCACGATATCCACTGACTCCGTGTCCCCACGCACGACAGCCACACCATTCGAGGCACAACAAGCACATGCCCAGGCTCAGACCCAAGGCCAACCTCAGGCGCAGGCGCCACCGACAGCGCCGTCAACAGCAAACCCATTAGGCAGCGCGCCACAATCACAATCTCGTTCGACCTCGCCAGTCCGTCCCCCAATAAGTCCCATAACACCAACACTCCCCGCGACCGAGCTTCCGCCGCTCCCGAACCCGCAACAGCTTCCGCCCCCCGCCTCCTCAGCCGCATCTTTCTCCGCAGGTCGCCAGACATTCACCCACAACCAACCCGTGCCCGACGCCGCAGCGACGGCCATCCCCCCACCGCGCCCCGAACCGATCGACTTTGACGCGAACCCTGACGTCCTGGCCCTCAAGTCCGCCATATCCATCCTGCAGCTCCAGCGCCAGAGGGCGGCCAACGACATACGTGCTCTCGGCGCGGCAAAAGATGCGGCTGCCGCCGATCCCGAAGCGTTTCTCGCCGATCTGACTGCCAACAAGATCCGTGGCCAGCAGGACCCCCTCTTCCCCACGGCGCAGGCACACGACTCCTCATCCTCCGAGGACGAGAGCGACGATGACGACGAACCTGGAGCCGCGCCTTCAGGCGACGTGCCGCTGACAGGTGGATCCGCCGTCGACGGGGACCCGCCACGGCAGCCGAAGACTAAGTCGAAACCCAAGAGCGCTGAACCGCCAAAGCCATGGAAGAACCTGCCGCGTCCACAAAATGTTGTACGGTGTCCGCCCATTAACTGGGCGCAGTACGCTGTCGTCGGCGACTCGCTCGACAAGCTACATGCAGAGCAGCGTGCCCGCCCGAACCAGGGCCAGCCAGCGGTTGTGGGGTCCGACGGCGCCTTTGAATTCAAAGGCAGCACCGACGGGAACAGGGCGGACTTTGTGGGCGTTGCGGCACCGTATATGCCAGGCCGGGACAAACTGGAAAACAAGAAGCCGCGGGGGGGTCGGCGCTGAGGAAGGGGTGGTATCCCAGAAACAAGATGTGACGTGGAAAGGCTGTGGATGAGGCTTACCTTGCGTGCAGGACACCATATCATGTTGACGATTTCATGTTTGATGGTTTCATGATTAGAGTAGCTGTGACACTATTGTCTTGATTGCATGACGCTCTCACTGAGCACAATTTCACCTGCTCTCACTTCCCGTACTCAGCCGCCGTCCGCCCGCCCCGTTATCATGCAAATCATCCATGTTGTGGTGGGGAATCTAGCTAACAATCGCGACCTTTCTCCCTGTCCTTCATGGTATGTTACCCCAAGCCTGGTCCAAACGCCCTCGCATACAAACGTTAGTCTTCGCCACGGTGTTCCTCATAATGTGTGACGGTCTGCCATTCGTCCTTTGACCATGCAATGCACAAAGTCCCCAAACCAAGTACAAGTTTCCATCCTCCAGAAAGCTGCAGCGTGGCCCGCTAAGATTGAGAATGGCTTCGTGAAAACGCTCAGAAGTCCCTAGATCATGTCAGTTCTGAGACATTAGTAATCTGAGAACATGTACACTAACTCGGTGCTTTGCTGTACAGATCTTCTCAGACGGCGGTTGTAGTTCCTCCTTCCGTCTGCACCACTCCAGTACAGTTGATTGGCCTCAAGGTTTACCAGAGTTCGGGGATCGTAAGCAGGGTCCTCTTCCTCAAGGTTATCAATGACAGCCTCGATATGCGTGAGTACATCTTCTTTTCTCATGGGGTTTGGCGAGTAGCAAGCCGTGCCGTCGAGCGCAATACGATGGTGGAAGATCTTGGTGCTGAACTTGACGCGAGGCTGCTCGTCAGGGAACCTGGGACTGAAGTGAATCTTGATCTTGAAAAGTCCTCCGTCGAGGTTGGTCATGGGCCGGCCAAAATATGTGATAACCCACACGAAGGGGTTGTTTTCCTCCAGTTGTATGTCGTGGGGTATGTCCCTACGCTTGAAATTCTGAATGATCTGCTCGAACTGGTGCTGCAGATTCACACTGACGGTAGTCTCTCTCCTCTTGGCGTCAAGGCCCTCCCTGGCCCAGTCGTCGACCTCGGCATCGATGGCTCTCTTGATGTTGTGCAGACGACGCTCAAGCTCGGTATAGTTGAACTTGCCCTCCATGGAATTACTGGAACCTTCGAAAGGCATGCGAACGAAGGGCTGATGATCCTTGACCTCTGCTTTGGCCTTTCGGATGGCCTCCAGATAGGAATCGTAGTACCAGAGGAATCTACGCTTGCAAAGGTCTTTGAACGGTTCAAAGGGCACCGACGACTCATCAAGGTCATCCATGTCTTGCTCGAGGCTATCATGATCGGCCGCAGACTGAGATGCGAGCGCCACGCCGTCTGGGGTGAGGCCGAGATATTGTTCCATACGCTGTATTACTGAGATTCGGAGTGTCTCATGGCGGATCTGTAACCCGTCAGTCTTCCTGTCTCCATGACCAAGCTCGCTATTACTGACCTTTTGCACGTATGCCTCTTGGTTCTTCTTGTCAGATGGATCGTTCGCTTCCTCGAATCCAGGTTCGTTCTCGTAGGGATTTCCTGACATCAGGCTCTGGATCGATAGCAGGATTGATTCAAGTCCTTGAGCTGCAGACCACTCCTCGCCCCGTTCTCCACGCCACGTGCTGCATTGTCATTAGTTGGTGAAGACAGTAACAGGCACAGGATGGTTACCCCAAGATAGACCTTGTAAACATCAGCGAAACAAGTTTTTGATAGATTTTGACCACAACTTACAGGCAGACTTTGCCAGTTGAGTAGATATTTGGGTTAAAGCGACAGCGACCTGAGTTCGTTGTGACAGCCGTGACCTGGGGTGACTTGCGCGGATAGTCTAGGCAAGGCATCAGCACTTTACTCGTGTCCCGGCATTGAGAATGAGAGCTACCTTTGTTGAACTTGAAAGCAAACTTGAAAAACGGTCAGTGACAGGATACGTCTTGCTAGTTCTTGAGCTCTTGAAGCACCCACCTCGAAGAAGCCGAACTCGTACGGAGTATCGGCTGGCCCGATGATCATCGCGCGCACGTTACGAACATCGACATCTCTACATGCCACAGCGAGTGCTTCATAATATTGTACGTCAGTCAAATCGTTGGGGATGTTGGGAAGAGGTGTCGCTTCGTACAGAGGTCGGAGGATCGCTGGAGATCGCTGAGCTCCTACGGACAGCATGGTCAGCGCCACATACCCGATGCTAGAATTGACTGATGCGAACCTTTGTAATCCGTATAATCGACTGATCAGCCATGACAAGCGGCTTTCAGGGTTTTGACGCCCAGTTGGTGTTTTCGTCACGCACGGTTGGTTCTGTCCGCAGAGGGGGTAAGGACCAGGTACTGTATGTGTCATGCGTCGCAGCTTTGCTCAAGCGTTCGAAATATATCTGTCGCGGAAAGGACGGTCGGTGCCTGCATGGGTACGCAGGCAGCAGCACGGAATGGAAGGTCGTGGCAGGCAAGATACGGCGGGTCGAGTCCGGCGGTAATGGGTTGTAGAGGGAAAACTGTCGAGGCAGGAGCTGTTTGGCGGGGTAGGCGCGGGGCTGACAAGATAGCTTCCTGATCAAACAGGCCTCCAGGTTGCATCGATCAACAGAGTTTCCCCATGAGCCTCGCAAATTAGATATCATGTAAGTGTAAACTGGAGGAGAAGCTGTTCTCGACAGCCTTCTAGAGATCAAGCCGTGTGTACACGGAATATGATGAGGCAGACGATAGGATGGTTAAGGTCACATGCTCTACGAATACCCCACATCCAATCGGTAGAGACGAGACGCAAACGCACGATGCACGGTTGACACGGCCGTTTGTTACCACTGTGCTCAACAGATGACAGCATTCTATTTCTGGGTCATCAAGGTCTTCCTGGTGGAGGCCTCGCCTGTGCAAAGCATAGGCTGATTCTTCTTTGTCGCCGATCACCGTAGCCCAGCCTTCAGGGTACCTACATGTAGCACGGCATACAGTAGGCAGCTTCGGCTCATAGAGTCAACTACTCCAACGGAAAGGACGATGCTTTAAGTACCTACCTTGAGGTACCTACCTAGGCCGGGGTTTACCACACGAACAGTGACTGATTGAGCTGAGTACTGGCCCACGGTATCTCAACTACGGCGGCACAGTAGGTGTCCAAGAGTGGACCCACCTCCACTTGACGCAGGCATCCACGTCGTTGCCTTGCACCCCAACCCCTGCCACAATCGGTGCATCTCGCGGGGCCAATTGACGCGTAAATGGATTTCTGGCACGCGTCAACTGGGTCAATTCCGACCTACTAGATTTCTACACCATTGCCAGTCTCGCGGATTCTCTTCAGGACGATACTGACGATACCACCAAGGACCGCTTCCTGCCTCCCCTTTCCACCAATACAATCACGATGGCTAGCTTCTTCGATCTCAAAGCGAGAAAGCAAGCAGCGGCCAATGGCGCTTCATCCCAAAAGCAGGACAAGTCTTCGCAGCCACCACGAGCGCAACCCTGGGTCGAGAAATAGTATGTGTTGTCCTGAGTTTACGTTTGGAACCCGATAATGATTATTTCTAGCCGTCCGAAGACCCTCAGCGACGTTACAGCCCAGGACCATACTGTGACTATCCTGCAGCGCACTCTGCAAGCCTCCAATGTACGTGGCTTTGAGATTCGGAACGCGATGTAATGAGATGCTGACGACAGAAAGCTTCCACATATGCTATTCTACGGCCCGCCAGGTACATGAATATGGAATTCCTTCACGCTCGATAGGGGTTGTTAACTGTCATCAGGTACCGGCAAAACCTCGACCGTCCTCGCTCTTGCAAAGGAGCTCTATGGCCCCGAACTCATCAAGACCCGCGTCCTCGAGCTGAACGCCTCTGACGAACGAGGTATCTCCATCGTACGCGAGAAGGTCAAAAACTTTGCACGCATGCAATTGACGAATCCGACTGCCGAATACAAGAAGCGATATCCTTGCCCTCCCTTCAAGATCATTATCCTCGACGAGGCCGATTCAATGACGCAAGACGCGCAAAGCGCTCTGCGTCGTACAATGGAAACATACAGCAAGATCACAAGATTCTGCCTGATCTGCAACTACGTCACGCGCATTATTGACCCCCTTGCCAGTCGATGTAGCAAGTTCCGGTTCAAGAGCCTGGACCAGGGGAACGCTAAGCGAAGGCTGGAAGAGATTGCGAAGAATGAGGGCGTTGAGCTCGAAGAAGGTGCTGTTGATGCCCTGATCAAATGCTGCGAGGGTGACCTGCGAAAGGCTATCACGTTTCTGCAAAGTGCCGCGCGACTTGTCGGGGCGACGGAGATTGCCGACGGGGACCAGTCTATGGACGTCGACAAGAGACCGATCACTGTCAAGATCATTGAAGATATTGCAGGTGTCATCCCTGAGTCAACGATCAACAGATTGACAACCGCAATCCGTCCTCAAAAGTCCGGAGACACGTACCAGAATGTCGCCGGAGTCGTGGAGGAGATGGTGGCCGATGGCTGGAGTGCAGGCCAGGTTGTTTCTCAAGTAGGCCTTCACACCTCCACTTCTAGACCTGCAAAACTGACTCTCAATAGCTCTACCAGCATATCGTTTACGACGAGGCAATTCCTGACGTTCAGAAAAACAAGATAGTTCTCATCTTCTCCGAGGTAGACAAACGGCTTGTCGACGGTGCGGACGAGCATCTTTCAATCCTTGACCTTTCGCTCAGGATATCGGGAATCATGGCCGGCCGGAGTTGATCGAGATGGTGTCGCATGGTCATGCGAGGACAAAACTGGAAGGCGTTGGGGAAACTGGGGTTAGTTCACAATTACGAAGGTTGATTTGAAAGCGCTCAATTATCATCATGGCGATTTTGTGCTTTCCTCGCTCTATATCAGCCATGTCAACCCATAAGGCCCAGCTTACCATCCAAGACAGCCCAAGGGTCAGCACGATCACCCCGTTTAAATGCGGCAACATCCGGGTGTTGCCTTGCTCCAGCCTTGCGTGATGATTCTTCTGTCAACCAAATATCGTCTTCTGTGGTGTCGCCTGTAGTCATACTTTCATGTTCATGACGTTTCCGTCCAAAGAGCTGTTCAACGTTGTGAAGAGCCTTCATAGACTCCTCGAGTGCCAGGTGCCCTTCTTCGACCTTCTCAGCTACAGTCTCCATCGTGGAGATCTTTGCCGAGTCCGCGGCATACACCCACGGCCTGACTTGACTGACTGTGTCTGGTGTGTCTGACGCAGCTGCTGACATGTGCTCATCAAAGCCCGATTTACCTCTCTTGGCGGCTGGCATGGAGTGGCTTGGAAGAAGTTGGCTTTCCTCGGCCAGGTGAACCATAATTTGTCTCGTATCTTTGACTTGCTGGGCCAGGATGGTGTTAATATGAGACTTTTGTTGGATCGTGCCCTTTTGCTGCCGTGACAGATCGAGAAGATCCTCAAGGTAGGGAAGCACAATGTGTCCAGCAGATGAAGGTAAATCTTCCATCTCTTCCACCCTTGGTGTCTCCGATGTTTGGCCGATCTTGATGGTTGGGCGTGTGCGTTGAGAGGCGAGTGTCAGAAGGGACTTGCGCGTCGCAACGTAGCTTGCATATTTCTCCTTCACCTGAGCGAGTTGCTGCGACAAGTCGACGTCTGCAGAACCAGCCTCGACCCCATCATTGGCAGGCTCTCCTGAAATGTCTTGGTCTGCATTGTCACCAGTTGCCTTGCTAAGCTCGGTCTCGATCCAGTTGATGAGCTCATTCCGTGTGACGTTCAGAGCGTGCAGCCTCGCCATCTCACTGATAGTGTCTTTACTGGGTTCGACGCGGTCCCGCACTATGTTGAGGAGCTTTTCTTCTTGTCGTAGGAGAATCTTAGTGCGCAAAACCACTTTTTCCATCTCGTTGACGACAGCGGTGAGGTCAGCTTTGGCGGCTGTGGTGTCTGTACCAAAACTGTCAACCACTTCGCGGGGCACTTGTGGCAGTTCGATTGAGTCATTGTAAATCTCTTCGAGGTTCAGGAAATTGGGTGATGCTACTGGCTGCTGTGTGAGTGTGTCTAGATGCTTCTGTATCGCTGCGAGCCTTGCATGTTTCTGTTGTAGCTTGATGAGCGCGAGGTGTTCCCGCAAGTGGTCCGCCGAGCTCTGCTGGTATCTGACTGGAGCCGTGTCGGACAGCGAGATTTCACTCAGCTGCGCATGTTCCTGGCGTGCTTTTATATTGGCTCGAACTGCTCTTAAGTAATCCCGCTGCAGTCCATGGGTCTCTCGATGATGCTGAACCTGGTCGCTGGCTTGAACCAGTGACAGCGGGCGCTGTAGTGTGTTGGCCTGGCGTTGCCGTTGTAGATGGAGAGCCAGAACGCGCCTGATGTAAGAGACTTGCTCCCTTGGCTTGATATAAGGCTCGAGGGTCGACTTTATTTGCCGAATAGCCTCCGGCTCGGTATTCTGTACCATTCTTATTGATGGTATCGCTGCCAGATTCAGACGACGATGATGCGGTAAACAAGGTCCGAGCATTCATCCGATCGTCGACGTGATGAACCAAATGACGACGCTACAGAGAAAAAGCTGCGAACTCAGGTGATGCCGCACAGAATATGTCAATATGTCAATAGATTCCCAGTACTTATGTATCCAGCAGATTGGCCGCCAAATTGTCAAGGACGTACCATCACATTCACTCTTCTCAACCCTCAGTGAGTGCTTGTGGCTTGACTTGTTGCCAGAGCACGTGACTTCGCGCGCTGCATAGACCACTAGCCACAACCATCCACTGTGGACCCATCATCCATCTTTTCAGGCTTCTCGACTCGTTACCTGCATTCAACAAGACGTACCACAACGCGCCATCTGCTTTTGCCCCAAGCACAACACACTCCGGCGTAAGACGACAAGGGCGCTTTCGACATCGGTCCATGGCAGACGACATCCCACGAATCTAGCCAAGATGTCGGACCAACAGCGCGATGTCTCCCAGTATAAATACTCGGCCATGTCCAACCTGGTTCTCCAGGCGGACAAGCGTTTCGTTTCAAGACGAAATGACGAGTCTACCGGCGACCCCGAGTCGCTGGCTGGGAGGCTAAGCATCCGGGATATGGGCAATCGCGTCGCGCGCGACAGCGCGCCGAAACAAAAGAAGGCACCTGGTGTCCCTGATATCGAGCGGGGCAGGGTGCAGGATGGACAGGACGTGCTGCTACGCGAACAACAGAAGAAGAAGGGTGGTGCAGGGCAGATGCGCGGGACCGGCGTTCTGGGGACCGCCGACTTCGCCATCGAGGGAATCACATACAGACCGCGCACGCCAGCAACCCGTGCAACATACGAACTCATTCTCAAAATTGTTGCCGACAACCTCGGCGATGTACCCCAATCGGCAGTTCTGAGCGCAGCGGACGTTATCCTCGAGTTTCTGAAAGACGATGACTTGAAAGACAACGAACGCAAGAAGGAGATCGACGACATGTTGGGTGTCGCGTTGGGCCCAAAGGAGTTCAACGAGATGGTCAACCTTGGCAAGAAGATCACCGATTACGACGCGCAGGACGAAGATGAGGACATGGACGGTGGTGCAGCCGACGGCGCAGATGATGCTGAAATGGACGACCGCCAGGGCGTGGCTGTTGTCTTCGAGGACGAGGACGATGACGAACATGCTGGCATCGCGAACGAGGTCAGGGAAGAGTCATCAGAAGACGAGGAAGCAGACGAAGAGGATGCGGAGGACCAGGATATCCTTGGCGAAGACAAGAAAACCAATCTTGGTGACGATGATGACGAGATGGTGATCGATTCCGCAGGAACCAAGGGTGCGCAAGATGAGAAGGAAGCGACTGTACCGGCACGGGACATCGACGCCTTTTGGCTCCAGCGTCAGATCGGCAAGCTCTACGACGATCATCACGAGCAGGTCGACAAGGCTGCGGAATCGCTGCGAATCCTGTCTGGTGAGCCAGACGAGGCGGGAGGCGAGGAGAAGTCACTTCGAGAGATTGAGAACGACTTGATGGAACTTTTCGACTATGAACACCACAACCTTGTCCAACTCCTCATCAAGAATCGGGAAAAGGTCGTCTGGCTGACACGACACGCCAAGGCTGATACAGACGAACAGCGAGCAGCTCTGGAGCGCGAGATGGCCTCAGAAGGTCTACAGTGGATTCTCAATGAGAAGTACGGCCGCAAAACGGAGGACAAGTCTCGAAAGATGGAGATCAAGATGGATATTGATGTTCCTGCCGGTGTTGCTTCTGGCAAGCCTGCCGAGCCCGAACGTGCCGAAGGTCAGCTCCGCGGGGGACTGCAGCCGCGCAAACTCATCAACTTGGAGAATCTGGTGTTCGACCAGGGCAACCATCTCATGACAAACCCCAAGGTCAGGCTACCTGAAGGGTCAACCAAGAGGACCTTCAAGGGATACGAGGAAATTCACGTCCCAGCACCCAAAAAGCATGCCGATCGCAACGAAGTGCTTGTGCCTATCACCGACATGCCGGAATGGTCAAGGGGCCCTTTTGGCACGACAAAGTCTCTGAACCGTATCCAGACGAAATGCTTCCCAACGGCTTTTGGAGATGATGGAAACATGCTAATCTGTGCGCCCACTGGTAGTGGCAAAACCAACGTGGCCATGTTGACGATATTGCGCGAGCTAGGCAAACACCGCAACGCCCAAACCGGCGATATCGACTTGGACTCCTTCAAAATTGTGTATATCGCGCCGTTGAAGGCCCTGGTGCAGGAACAGGTGGGAAACTTTGGAAAGCGACTCGAACCATACGGTGTCAAAGTTTCTGAGTTGACGGGTGACCGTCAACTCACAAAGGCACAGATTGCTGAGACGCAGATCATCGTCACGACTCCTGAAAAGTGGGATGTCATCACAAGAAAAGCTACCGACATAAGCTACACCAATCTGGTCCGACTTATCATCATTGATGAGATCCATCTGCTTCACGATGACCGTGGCCCTGTTCTCGAGAGCATTATAAGCAGAACCATCAGGAAAACCGAGCAAACCGGAGAGCCTGTCCGTTTGATCGGCTTGTCCGCAACGCTGCCCAACTACCGAGATGTCGCCAGCTTCCTCCGTGTGGACCCCACGAAGGGCCTGTTCCACTTCGACGGCTCTTACCGACCCTGTCCTCTCCGGCAAGAGTTCATTGGCGTGACCGATCGCAAGGCAATCAAGCAACTCAAGACGATGAACGACGTCACGTACAACAAAGTTATGGAGCACGTAGGTACCAACCGAAACCAGATGCTCATCTTCGTCCACTCGCGAAAGGAGACTGCCAAGACGGCAAGATATATTCGCGACAAGGCTCTGGAGATGGACACTATCAACAATATTCTTCGTCACGATGCTGGCAGTCGTGAGGTTTTGAATGAAGCTTCGAGCCAGGCGACTGAAAAGGAGCTCAAGGACTTGCTTCCTTACGGATTCGGCATCCATCACGCTGGTATGAGCCGAATTGACCGCACTGATGTCGAGGATCTTTTTGCCCGAGGTGCCATTCAAGTTCTGGTTTGCACAGCCACCCTTGCGTGGGGTGTCAACCTTCCCGCACATTCCGTTATCATCAAAGGCACTCAGATCTACTCACCTGAGAAGGGTAGCTGGGTAGAGTTGAGCCCCCAGGATGTCCTGCAGATGCTGGGCCGTGCAGGCCGACCACAGTTCGACACATATGGCGAGGGTATCATTATCACAACACAGAACGAAATCCAGTACTACCTCTCGCT